AACGCTCATTTGGATTTCTCACGGCACTACTCTAAAAACCGCTACTCATTTGTCTCTCACTTGTCTCCCATTTGTCTCCCACTTGTCTCCCATTTGTCTCCCACTTGTTGCTGTTTGGGGTCGAATTTCTATTATAACTATAGTTAATGTTACTTATTTTGAACATCTTAACGACCCTAGGAAGCGGGACAAGTTAATATAGCGGGCCTCAATAATTACCTATATATCCTCTACTTTGGAGTTCCTTCTTATAGTTATAGCATGGTATACCCCTCAAACCCTATTCTAATGATTAAGGCCCCTACATTAGGCTTCAATGCCACCATCACTGCGGCTGCAAAACCTGGTCTCTGGAAGTTGGGTCTACAACTCCTCTCCAAGATGGCAGGGCAGCGGATACTGGGTGGTTTTTGTTGAGGAACGTCATTGACGTACCAAAATTAGATAGTTTTCGCTTGTACCAAAAAAAGTCCCTACAATGGTAATTTGATTTGAGCTCCTTAGCAAGAGCCCAGGATATCTCCTACCAGTGTCACTTTCAATTCCGTCCTCAGTGCCGGGCACGGCGGAAAAGAGTGGGGAGCAGTACTCTGGCTGGTCTCAACCATGCCTGTCAGGCCTGAGGATTGCCAAGCCTTAAGGGTCCAAGTAGTCCTTATATGGCTTGTGGTACCAAAATAGGTCCCGAAGTCCTTAACAAACCAGTGCTTGGACCACTAGGGAAAGCCATGCTTGAAAATATTTGCGCTTCCATTCCTGCTTTGTCTGTGGCAATACTTCTCCGGCTGAGAATAATAAGAATGTACTTAGAAGTTACGGAGCCGAATGGTGTTTCAGGACCCTAAACCTACCCTAAACCCCTAAACCCTAAACCCTAAACCCCTAAACCCGAACCCCAAACCCATATGGTGTTTCCGGATGCATCCCGATCGTTGTAAGCGGGCTCCCTGCAAGGAGCATCGCGGTTGACCGCATCGGCCTGAATGTCGCGATACTGAGTTCCAGTAGTACCCTTTTGCCCTTTTCCTGTTTGGGTTCCCGAAATAAAACCAACTAGTAGGAGGAAAAGGGTCTCCTTGTTTTTAGAGGGCGACCACCTAGGATAAGTGCCTGCGCAGCTTGCGCGAAGTGGCGGCTTGCTCTTCACCTTCTTTCAGGACTCTCAGCTGCATTGGGTGTCCTAATCCCTGCACCTGAAGCTCAAGGCAATCGCTGTGAGTATGCATACACAAGTATATACATATCCATTCTTTTAATTGCATACCTGCATACATACATACATA